GGAATTGAATTAGTTTATCACCACATGTTTTCTGCTTTTTAAGTCCATAGAACACACAAGATTATCCCAGTTCTAGTCCCATACACACTCCATTTAGAAAACAAGCCATTCTGCAGCCCTTAGAGAAGTTAAACCAAAACTTGGAACTTAACCCAAGAGAAATAATGTTCCAAATACCAGTGGTTAATCTTTTATACCCATGTAACAGTTTCCAAAGGTCAAAGCAGAAAATCAGTGGTATCCAAGAAAAGGAAGGCAGCCTCAAAATTGCCATCAAATAAACCACCCCCCCAAGACTCAGTAGCTTAAGAAAATAAGCATTTATTTAGTTCTTGAGCCTGAGGGGCAATGATTTAGGCTGAATTCTAGTATATGTCTAACATGGCAAACTCAGAATCAAGGGGCAGAAAAAACTTTTTTCTTTTCCTAGGATGAGCTATGAAGTCCCCTTGTAAATGGCATGGTTACAAGAGGAGTGAAGAACTGGGGCCAGTAACACAATCACTCTAAAATAATTACACAATTTGAACTAGGGACATTTCAGGGGCTCAATAACCACACGTGACTAGTGGCTCCCATGTTAGACCGTCCAGTGCTAGTGTCACTGGCCTCCTTGCAATTCCTCAAACCTGTCAGGGATTCTCCTGCCTCGGGGCCTTTGCATTTGCCATTCCCTCTGAGTGAAACACTCTTCCAGATGTGCAGATGGGTCACTCCCTCATCTCATTTGTTTCAAATGTCACATTTTCAATGATGACTTCCCTGTCTACCCTGTTTAAAATTGCAGCTCCTATCCCTGAGCACTATCTATATTCCTTGCCATACTTTTAATGGTATTTATTGCTATCTCGTATATTTTATATTTTAATTATATATTATCTTCCTCCACTATAATGTAAGCTCCATAAAGACTGGTATCTTTTGCCTGTTTAGTTCACTGTTGTCTCCCCAGTGCCTAGAGCAATAGTAGGCACTCAATACATATTTGTTGAACAAACTCTAGCCTTTCCATGCCTTTCTGCAAATACTAAATAAATAAGTCAGTTAGAGTTATATTTGATAATTATAATTTATTATATCAGATTGTAAATCATAAGTCTGATTTACAGTAAATCAGGCTTATGCATGAGAATCCCAAGAATTCCAAAGAACAGGTTTACCCACGTAAGAAGTCGTATTTCCAGACCCTCCCTTACATGAGCGATCAGAAGTAGGATTTGAAACCTTAATTACAGTCAATTAAAAGAAAAATATCCTAAGAAGCCCAGTCCAGGCCCAAACTTACCCATTACTGTCCTTGTCTTTAGGGCTAGAGGATAACGTTTAAAGGTAATTTGCGCGGCTTCCCTGGTGGTGCAGTGGTTAAGAATCCGCCTGCCAATGCAGGAGACACGGGTTTGAGCCCTGGTCCGGGAAGATCCCACATGCCGCGGAGCAACTAAGCCGGTACAGCACAACTACTGAAGCCTATGTGCCTAGAGCGCATGCTCGGCAACAAGAGAAGCCACCACAATGAGAAGCCCATGCACCACAACAAACGGTAGCCCCTGCTCGCCTCAACCAGAGAAAAGCTCATGCACAGCAACGAAGACCCAACGCAGACAAAAATAAAAAAATAAATTAATTAAAAAAAAAAAGGTAATTTGCTGTTTCTGTCTTTGCCATCCAGCAAAATATTAATGCTTGCTATCTGGTTTGTCTTATACACAATTATCTCTAAGGTTTACCTTTGATTGCAACCCTACATCTTTGTTCCACAGTCTTTCAAATACTTGGGTTCTAAAAGAGCAGCTATGCTCTTCATTTCTACTTGTCTAATTGGTCAGTAATTCTCCTATTGTTTTTATTGTCTCAGTGGCACCTTGGTGTCTCGTAAGTGGTAAGTCACCCTAAATCAACTCCTTAGACAACTGTGGGCATCCATTTTACTGTAGGTCTCCAAGTAAGTAGATATTTGAGTCAATAAGCATAGCTTTGATTTATGCCGGTTTGACTTTAATTCATTTAACAAATATTTATTGAGAACCTAATATATGCTGAAAATTGTGCTATGTCATATAGCATTAAGTAAGATAGACATGGGTCTTGTCTCCAAAACTTAAAATCTACTTGGCAAGACAGAAAATTAAACAATTAATTACAATGAAGATAAGGACGGTGAGAGAACATACGGTGGACCTAATCTGGTCTGGGGAATGGGGTTAGGATGCTTCAATTTTTGGTGACCCTGGCATCATTTTCTTTTTAAAGCAACTTTGTGAGTGTTTTTTTCTTAAAAGAAAGAAATGGAAAATTTTATTCAAGCCTAATTTGAGGATTATAACCCAGGAAGAGCATCTATCTCAGAAAGCTCTGAGAACTGTTTACTCGAGGCATTTTTACATACAACTCACCAATCTCAAATGTACTATTTGATGAATTTTGACAAATGTATGCAGTCATATAACCCACTCCCACAATGAACATAATTACATCACCCTTAGAAGTCCCCTCATGCCCCTTTGCAGGCAGTCTCATTCCTCCCATTCATCCTCAACTCCCGACACTTACCTGCTTTTTCTTACTACAGTTTTTCCTTTTGTAGAATTTCATATGAATGGATACACATATTATGTAGTCTTTTGTGTATGGTTTCTTTTACTTAGCTTAATGCTGTTGAGATTCACCTATGAATAGCTTTTTCCTTTTTATTGCTGAATAGTATTCCACTATGTAGATATACTCTAATTTGTTTATTCATTCACCAGTGGATGGACATTTGGGTTTTTTCCAGTTTGAGGTTATTATAAATAAAGCTTCTATGCACATTTGTGTACATGTCTTTGTACATATGTTTGTATTTTCTCTTGGGTAAACACCTAGAAGTGTTCATTACTGAATCATATGGTATAAAAATTGCTAAGTTGTTTTCTAAAATGGCTTCAGCATTTTTCATTCCCACCAGCAAAGTGTGAGGGTTCCAGTTGTTTTGTATCTGAACCAACACTTGTTGTAGTTGGCCTTTTAAATTTTGGCCACTCTAGGATGTGCGTAATGTTATCTCATTGTGTTGTGATTTGCATTTCCCTAATCAATAATAATTGCTCATCTTTTTGTGTGCTTAGTTGCCATCCATATATCTTCTTTGGTGAAGTGGCTGTTCAAACATTTTGCCCATTTAAAAAAGTTGGGTTGTTTGCCTTCTTATTATTTAGTTTAAAGGGGTTTATATACATTCCAATAAAAGTCCTTTGTCAGATATTTGTTTTGCAAATATTTTCTCCCCATCTCTGGCTTGACATTTCATTTTGTCAACAGTGTCTTTTCAAGACCGAAAGTTTTAATTTTGATGAAGTTCAATTTGTCAAATTTTTAGTGGTTCCTGATTTCTGTATCCTATCAAGATTATAAAGATTTTCTCCTCTATTTTCTTCTGTAAATATTATAGTTTTAGCTCTTACATTTATCTGACCTTTTACATACACTTCTGAAATTAATAAAATTGTTCAAAAAAAATAGGCATGGAAAACTAGAATGAAATTATTTAGCCTTTGTAAGACATCATCTCTCCCTAGGCCCCAGGTTTGATGTGACATTTTAGGGAATATTGTCTCTCACTTAGTTGTGATATGATGACTTTCTTGATTTAGGTTTCTATTGATATCTGTTGTCAACGAGAGCAAAACCAACGTGACCTGCCAGTGTTCAGTAAATAGTTCCCTCAACTTGGAATGTTCTTTCTCCTTCTGAGAAGTAAAGGAAGGGAGACATTACGTGAGTTGACACCACTCCAGGCTCTTGTCCAAAACATTGTATGTGCCTCTATCTTTCACATGAGACTGAATTTTCTAAACTCACCGGTTCCTACTACACTGCAAGTTGTTGAAAGTCAAGACCTGCGTGTTATTTTGTATCCTATGTTTGAGATGTAATTCAGTAAATGTCTTCGGAATGAAAGGAGGAATTCCTGGGTCTCTGCTGTTCTGCTGGTGAATGGAAGCTACCAGGTAGTGTGTGTTGTAGTTTCAATGCCCAATCCTCATGAACTTGGACCACTTTCCTTTAAAGCCATCTCAGTATCCTTAGGGCTTAGCGCAGTGCCTGACATGCAGTAGGGAACGAACGGCAGAGAGAAGGGGAAGGAAATTTGTACAAAATCCCAAACACCACTCTTTATGACTTCAAGCAAGGAAACTGAGCAACCTTCAGATGTAACGTATGACGACAAATATTCGAGATATTCAACTCCTCCTTGGCAACACCACCAACACCTCTAGGTTAAGTCCCTTATTTCAAATCTTGCGAGCTTGCGTGGACCCACGCTTTCCTACTAGGAGAATGCCAGGAAGACTGAATTCCTAACTCTGGTGGATTTATAAGACTCAGAACTCACTCCCTGCGCGCTCGTCAGCCCTGGTTACTTAGCAACGGGATCGATCGCTCGGCGCTCGACTCGACCCGGCCGGACTGAGACAAGGCGTTCCGGGCCGAGCCTCTCACGGCCCGCCCCCTCCGGCCCGAGTCCCCGCGGCGCGCAAGCGCGGAACGGGGTGGGTTGAGGGAGAGGGAGTCGGTGCGCCGGCGCCGCTTGCGGGCCGTGGCGGGGAGGGGCGCACGCACAAGGGGCGGGGCAGCGGGCGCCCAGAGTGGCTGAGGAGCCGGAAACGCGCCTTGGAGGGTGCGGCCCTGAGGACACTGCGGGTTGGGGCGGGCCGGGCCGGGCCGGGCGGGAAACGTTAGGCGAGCGGCCCGCGGGGCGGGGGTCGTGCTGGCGGGGAGGGCCCCGAGGCGAGCTTTGCCCTGATGAGGAAC